AAAGAGAATCCCATGCTTATGGTTTGCCATGGGTACAGACAGAGCAGAAATGAATATAGTCAGTGACTCCCAGGTGCATACTTATATGTATGTATTATAACGTAATACTGGTTGAATTATGACACACATCCCCACAAAAACTTGTATAGAACTACCGAGAAGTAGTTCATAGTAGCTGAAAGAGGATGAGGGTGAATGGGAACACAGTGCACAAAGATTTGGTCAGACTGAAGAAGTAAGAGATCTGAGCTCTCACGCACAGCATGGTGACTGTGGTTTATACTAGTTAATATATATATTGCAAATTTGCTGAGAGCGGATTATAATTGGTGACATCAAAGAAAAGTATGTCACATGACTGATGTACTGATTACGTTGACTTAATTTGTATATAATATATTAATATATCAAAATACACACTGTAGCCCATAACTAGATACAGTTAATGTTCATTGATTTAAGAAAATAACCTGAGGGCTGGCAGGTGGGTGTGTTATGGTATACTCACTATATCTCAAATAACCCATTTGAGGTGGGTTAAGGTGTTGGTCTCCCACATGACCAACTGTGATTCGAGTCCTGGACCTGGCAGCAGCTTGCTTTCTCACTTTTCCTCTATTTCTCTCTCTCTGTCTCTTTCTGGTGAGTGCATGTGCCCTAAAGCAAATTTAAAAACAATGATAACAATACATAAAATTAAATAACTTTTTTTAAAGAGATATTTGCTATAGGGTGCATGTACTCACTGAAGAGACAGAAAGGGCTGGCAGGTGGTATGGTGGTTATGGTGTTGCACTCTCACATGGCCCACTGTGGTTCAAGTCTGGACCTGGCAGTGGCTTGCTTTCTCCCTCCCCCCCCCCTGTCTGTCTCTTTCTGGTGAATGTATGTGTCCTATAGCAAATTTAAAAATAATGACAACAGGGTCCAGCAGATGGCAAAATGGTTACATCGCTGGACTCCCATGTAGTTGACTGTGGTTTGACTCCTGGACCCAGCAACTTAAAACTCATGCTGGGCATGGGTGCTGAGAGAAGGGTGGAGGAGAAGGTATTGCAGTATGGCCATTCCCCCGGGGGAAGTTTCTTGCTTTCTGTCGCTCTGTCTCTCCAATGAATGCACATGCCTTAAAGGAAAAAATCTCTCTTAAAAAATGTAAAAATAACAAATAAAATTAAATAAATCATTTTAAAAGATATTTTTGCTATAAGGCACATATTCTCACTGAAGAGACAGAGAGAGAGAGAAATCACCCCTCAGGAGGCATGACCACACTGTAGTCCCTTCCATTTTCTTCTCTCAAGATTTCGGGCATGCGCGCACATGCACACAGCGTGAGTTTTAAGCTGCCAGGTCTGGGACTATAACTGTGGTTGACTATGTGGGAGTTCAGTGACATAACCATTATGCCATCTGCTGGTCCCAATAAATAATTCTTGAAAACAAAAAACAAAGAAAGCAAAGAGGGAGAGAGGTGCTGAATTAGGGTCTGGAGGTGGACAGACCTGATAAACCCTGGCCATTCATTTAGGATTCTGAGAGCCAGCCACTCCCCCAGGCTTTACAGGTAAGTGCCAGAAAGGGCTCTTTTCTTCCTGGGCTCCCATAGCCACTTACTTGGAAGACGCCAACCCAGCCGGTGGAGCACTGAAATCAAACAGGGTGACCTCATCGAACCGAAGGATGGAGAAGCTGCCCCCAATTACCAGGTCCCCAGCGCGGTCAAAGCGCGGGGTTCTCCCTGGTAACCGCCAGCCTGTTGGCCCAGAAAAGGCAGCCTCAGAAAGAGATCCAGCGAGAGCAGAAAGCAAAAAGCACAACCACATGCCTGGAAGGAGGGCTGGACCGCCAGCGGCACCACCGCCCCTGTGTGGGGCTGCTCCAGATGGTGATGGGGGCTTTTATCTGAGCGTTCACCCTTGATCTGGGACCCAGGGTGGAGTCACACTTGGGTCCCAAGCATCCTTGCCATGGGAGAACAGATGCTGAGTTGGAGCTCTGTGGTCACCGAGTCCCAGGCTCATTAAAAGTTTTACTTCCTACCCCTGTGGCCTCATTTTCCCTCCCACCCCTGTGGCCCCATGAACTCTTGGGACTCATCTGTGGACATCTGGGAGGGGTGCTGCTGAGCCCCAGTTGTCTCCTCAGAAACCCTACAAGCCCAGGAGTAGCTGTGTTCCTAGGTCACTGGTCCCAGAGTCCCGAGGTCCCTGGTTTGGGACGGAGGCCCCAGAAGAGTACAAGAGGCAAAGAGTCTCCTGAGCCCACTTCCTCACCTGGCAGTGTTTGAAGATGGAGACAACCCCAGAGCCTAGGTGGTCCTGAGACAATACCTCCTGTCCCGATGTCAACAGGGCCCCACCTAGAGTGCTCCAGGTAGGGACAAGGCATGTTTGGGCCCAGGAGGAAGCTCTAGGGCTGGCCCAGACACGGCTGGTGCGTCCCTAATCAGGGCAGCCAGGTCTGGGCAGGGCTGGGTGGTAGCAGACTGTGCTCTAAGCCAGCCTCCCATAGACTGGGAACAGTGCCCTGCTCTGTACCACGGAGCCAGAGTAGTCTCTGCATTCTGCCTATATGACAGTTGTTAAAGTCACGTCAGCATATAGGCCCCCCAGGTCCTGTGTCCCGTCCCTGTTCGGGCGCCAGGTGTCCCGACCCGGGGGGACAGCTGAATGGGTTTCTTGAGTGAAGGAGTGAGAGCCGGGGCAATCAGCGTAGTGTTACAGCACGAAGACGACAGTGTCGTCTGTTTATTGTGGGCAGCACGGTACAGCACAGCGACGACGCAGTGTCACAGCTCTTAAGGGTCGCGTCATCTACTGTGAGCAGCACTGAGACGACGTGGTATCACAGCTCTTCAGGGTCGTCCAGAGACGATGTAGTGTTACAACTCTTCAGGGTCTCCCAGGTCGTCTGGAGACGATGCAGTGTCAGCTCTTCAGGATCGTCTGGAGACTGCGCGGTGTTTCAGCTCTTCAGGCTCTTCAGTTGTCGTCTTCCTGGTCGTTGTTGTCGTCGTCTGGCTACTGTGGGCCAGGCATCGTGGTTATATACACTCTGGTGGGTTGTAAACGGTGGGCCCTGATTGG